GTAAGTGTGACTATACAATTGTTGATGTTGGTTTGACCTTTTTTTGTTTTTATAGCAAGCCAAGTTGTCGGTCCTGTTGGATGAAATCAATAAAGTTCTGAGAGTCCCAAGACACCGAGCCAAATGGACCACAGAAAGTATGAAGTCCATTCAGAGATTCTTTCTCAGTAATAGGGCGAGGGCTTGAGATCCCACTCTGATTTTTTTCTCTTGTTTTTTTTTGGGGGGGGGGGGAGAAAAGACATTTAGTAAGGACAAGTTTTATTTTCTTTCTCATAGGAATTCATTCCAAGGACACAGTTTCAATTCTAAATCTTCTAGTAGCTCTTGCTCGACATTACAACTGCAAACAAAAGTTAACCCCAAATGTTCAAATTAATACAGTTATTGTCCAGGTTAGTGCCGACCAATGCGCATGCAAAGAAACGCAAAAAACATATATTAATTTCTCTTGACCTTGACCTTYGTTCATGACATTTGACCTTTAGAAAAAGAATGGAATGTTAATACCTCAAAGAGTGGTGGAAACAATCACAGGACCTGACGATGAGTAAGTTTGATCATATCTAATGCATTTACCACTCCTGGGTGGACAGCTTAATGCCTAACAGGCCTTGCGACCCAATTGATAAGGCAGCCGGTACATCAAATTAGAGTTTAGAAGTTGATTTTTGTGGAGGGAGGAAAACCGGAGAACCCGGAGAAAAACCCTCGAAGCAGAGAAGGAGAAGAACCAACAAACAACTCTACTCACATACAACACTGAGACTAGACTGTGAGCTAAGTCCATCTATTTCCCTTGGTCACTGTCCGTCTATCTTCCGTGTCGATTGGTCGAGGGACTTTTGACTCGTAACCAATCTTCCTCGGCCAATCAACATAGACAGACAGACAGACAGTGACCAAGGGAAATAGAGGGACTTAGCTCGCAGTTGACACTGAGACCGGCAGAGCTCAAACCCACGTCGCATTGGTGAGAGGCGGCGCATTAGCAGCACATGCCACCCGTGCTTCCCGTATATCTTACAGTGAGATGATATTGACCTATACTCAGTTTGACACCTAATTGACTGCTGGCTGCAATCTTACTATCCTTTTTTCTTCTTTTTTTTCTTCTTTTAGTATGATGGATGGAAAACCTGGTTAGTATATAGAGATTATCACATGTTATAAAATAACTGTTATGAATCTCGCATTCTGATTGGTTAGGAGCACGTGCTATATGAGAGCATACATGAGAGCGCACTTTTAGTAGCGTCATTCCTATCTAAAATAACAGTTATTGTAATTTGTATTTTATAAAAATAAAAAAACTTGCTGTGCTGTGTGGAGTTATAAAGCACTTATGCCAACCCCCACGTGCTTTATGTCTGCACACAGCACGCGTTTTCTATTTCTTCATTAAGACCTTGATATTTTTTCGTACCTATATCGCAAAGGAGCAAGTCCTTGGTGAGGAATATGATATGGAAAACTATTAATAAAATTTCGTAAACTTTTTTTGACAATAGCTTTTACATGTTGTGTTTTTTTACAGAAAGGGATGCGTTTGATGCCTTGTTTGATAAYGCACCTGATAAGCTGGGTGTGGTCAAAAAGGTGAGAC